ATTAAGTAAGGACTTGTGTTGCTAAAGTTTCGTCGGAACGAAGTTACGAAATGTTAATTAACAAACAGAGATGTAACAATACATTATGATAATAGACCTAAGTACCTCTCATCACTAAATCTAGTAAACTCCTTATGTGTTTTTTTAATCTAGTGTTATCATCGTGTTAGCAACCTCCTCTTACAAACAACTGAATCAAAACGATGAAAACATAGCTTACAATAATATTGTACTTGTGGAACTTGTAATCAGAGAAATAAAACGCTTTCACTATCATTCTTCTTTTCATGTTAATTCGTATGTATGCAATGACGAGTCCAGGATTTTCAGATTGGGGAGGCGTAACCCAGTGTGCACAGGAATCAAGAGTAACGAGTGTAAAGTTAATGCATTTATTTTAGTGATATTTCAATTATTTGAATTGTCTTTTTTTCCGTCGTTCATATCATGTTGAAAGCACTGTTTCTCGTCTGATCTCCAAAGCTAAGCACCGTCGGTCCCGGAAGGGTGATGATATAAAATAAAGCTGGCCTAGTGGTTAGGAAGCTCAGTTCATAACCTGCGTGTTCGAATCCTGTCACCAAACATGCTTGTCCTTTTAGCCGTGGGGACGTTATACTACGATGGTCAATATAACTTTTCGGTGGTAAAGAGTACCTCAGGCTCAAGGGTTGGTGGTGCCTGGTGGGTGGTGTTGACTAGCTACCTAGCCTACTTTCCATTTAGTCTATCACTTCTAAATTAGGGACTAGTGATGCAGATACCCCTCCGAGTCGCTTTGCGCAAAATTAAACAGTACAGCTGTTTTTAAAACTATGCAATTGAAGCCCAATCAACTACATTCTTATTAAAACAAGTCTTAAGAAACAGCAACCCATGGCCCTTAAAAAAACAAACCCAAGTCTGTGGAAAATATGCAGGCGTAGAAACATTTTTCAAGATATACATTTTTATCTGTGGCTGACTAATCGTAAATAGGCCACCAGAATGTGTAAGTGTCTACGAAATGTGACAGACACCTAGATCTTCATACACAAGATCAGGTAGAACACAAGGGAATTACCCAGTAGAACAGCATATAAGTCCTTTGACCCATCAAGTTACAAAAATGTTACTCCTCTGGCTGGATATGACAAGTAATCTCGACTGTACTGAGGATGTACCAAATCAGATATTATAAAAACTCCAAAACGTTTGTGGGAGGAAATACATGGGCTTGCAAAGGATAAAATTAAAGACAAATATTAACAATATAAGAAGTTTAAATTGACTGCAATGATTTGGATGATTATAGAAGATCAAGAGAATTGGTCAAATGGGAAATTAGGAAATCACAAAAAGTAAATATTAATAGTAAGGATTTCTTCATATGCATTAAGGGTAAGCAAAATGTTAGGCTAGGAGTAGGGCCTTTGAGGGATGATACAGAAAAATTAATATCTGCTGATTATGGGATTGTTGGGTTATTAAATTCTACCTTTTAATCAGTTTTTACTAATGATGATTTAAGAAATAATCCCAACCTGAACAGTTACTAGATAGAACCAACAAGATAATCATATTAATTGTGAACTTGTTAATGTTAAAAAAATTGGGAAGTGTAACAAATGATAATGTTCCTGTGCCAGGTAATATTAATATTTACCCAAGGGTTTTGAAAGAGGTTTGGGATTGGATATGTGAGCTACTTGCTACTATTTTTTTGAGGTCCTTGAATAGATAGTGCCAGAAGATTGGAAGTTGTTTAATGTTACTCCTCTTTTCAAGGGAGGTGATAAAAAGTGTCCCAGTAATGATAGGCCCATTAGTCTTACATCAGTTGTGGAAATTCTGATAAAAGATGCTGTACAAAGTCATTTAACAAAGTTTATAGTTTTATTGGCTATTTAACATGGTATCGCTAAGGGTAAAACTTGTTTACTAACCTTTTGACATTCTTTGAAGAGCTTACTGATTATGAAGATGAGGATAAGGTGTGGGTTTGGTGTATCTGGATTTTCAGAAAGCATTTAACAAGGTCCCACATAAAATGCTTATTAAAAAGTTATCTCTAGTTGTGAGGGATAGGTTAGCTCATTGAATAAAAAACTGGTTAGATGGAAGAAGGCAGCAGGTAGTTATAAATGGACTTCAGTCAAACTGGATTAACATCAAGAGTGGGGTACCCCAAGGCTCGGTGTTAGGACCTTTTCATTTACCCAGTGACATAGATGAAGGAATGGTCAATAAATTACTTAAATTTCCAGATGATATTAAGGTTTTGGGTGTTGCTAGCTGTCAAGATGCTGCTGATTTACAAAAGGATTTTGTTGATTTGGGAAAATATATGGAAGATGAATTCTAATTATAATAAAAGCAAGGTGATGCATGTGAGATACAACAATTTGAATTATGAGTATAATTATTATGGGAATAACCTTATAATAATAGTGTTACGAAAAAAAAAAAGATCTTGGTGTTCTGGTTCATCAGTCCCTTGAGCCATCTAAGCCATATGGAGATTACTGTGTTCAGTCTTGGGATCCTTAACTTAGAAAGGACATTGAATTGTTTGAAAGGGTTCATAGGAGGGCTACTAGAATGATACCTGGAATGTATAGGCTAAGATATCTTAATTGTTTTCTTTAGAAAAAAGAGAAATTACAAGGGATCTGATTGAGGTGTTTAAGATTAAGGGAATTGATAGTGTTGATGCATCATCTTTTTTTCATATTTAATGGGGTGAATGGTAAGACTAGAGGACACGCAAAGTTTGGCAGGGTAGGAGTCATCTTCAGCTAATTCAACTTTATTTTTCTAACAGGGTGGTTGGCCTTCAGAATGGGTTGCCTTTGAATGTGGTAGATGCAGTTAATTTAATGGAGTTGAAGGGAAAGATTGATAAATATTTGAATGATAAAGGTTGGCTTTTGATTTTTTTAATACTTATTTTAATTTAGTGGTTAGGATGGCCTGGATGGACCAAAAGGTCCCTTGTTGTCTTTTATGTTAGTTAGTTTCTTTGTGTTAGTGCAAAACCACAGTGGGCTTTCTACTGTGTCCACTGCAGGGAATTGAAACAGGGGCAACTGTTCAATTAGTATTTACATACTACAGGTAAACAGAGATGACTCCCGATAAAGTCATACTTTGATATCTAAATATGCAAAGAATAGTTGAATTCAAACATCAAGTTTTGTAATAATTTTTTACTTTGATAATTCCATTTTAACCTAGTGTTCAACAGACAAGTACCATCTTAAGCAATACATTTGGTGTATTAATAATATCACTGTTATTCATATTGTTATCTTCTATATTGGTAATGCATTTATCATAGAAGAGGATTATGATAATATATTAATTTCTTCAATTCTTCTCTTTGTAGGAATTCCATGTTGCTTATGTGTTCATCAAGATGGGGATATCTCCCAGACCAGGAGTATGGGCCCTGGAAAGATCAACAGATGGGGGGCAGACTTATCGGCCCTGGCAGTACTTTGCAGACACCCCTGGTGATTGTGTCCAGTACTTTGGAAATGACTCACTACAACCCCTCACTAAAGATGATTCAGTCGTTTGTGAAACAAAATTCTCTAAAGTTGTTCCCTTGGAAGGGGGGGAGGTAAGTAAGAGATAGAATTGGTTAGACAGATATTAGTGAACATGGAATCAAATGTGCCTGTGATGTTTTCCAGTTAAACAAGGAAGTAAATGGTTATCCATCTTGTTGCTGAGGTATACTGATATGATCCATTATTTGTTAGCACTGTGGGATTTAGTCATTACATATTTGGTACTTTAAACTTTAAAACATCTGAAGATATTTCTAACTTGAAATGAACTGGTAATTTGACGATGCAATTATGAGCGTTGTTTAGATCGGTAGTGTAATATAGTGTCTTTAAGAAAAATAAATCCTGGAGATTTAAACTAGTAAATGCTACACATGGAGAGTAATCTTCCTCCCATTAATGAAAGTAATACAGAGATAAAATTACACCGTTAATTTACTTTTTTGTGACAATTTTCATTGCTTGTTATTATTTTGACTTTTGGTTATAACCAAGAATTTGTTGGTAATGTGACTTTACACTGGATTTTTAACCAGCAGGTCTGTTGCTAATGTGACTTTACACTGGGTTTTTAACCAGCAGGTTTGTTAGAAATGTTACTTTACACTGGGTTTTTAACCAGCAGGTTTGTTGCTAAAGTGACTTTACACTGGGTTTTTAACCAGCAGGTTTGTTAGAAATGTTACTTTACACAGGGTTTTTAACCAGGATGTTTGTTACTAAAGCTAACTTACATTGGTAAGTAGCAAACAAACATTTTACTAACAATACTTTTTGTTTGTAGCTGGTTAAAAGTTTTCTCACTAAAGTTACTTCTACCTTGTATTTTTTTGCATGTTTTATTACTAATATTACAAGAGTGAATATGGTATTTATCTGATAGGTTTTCTTTATTATAACAGTTTAACTGTACATGTCTTGTTGAGGTTACTCAGCTGCATTAGATTTCTTACTTAGGTAAAAAGAATGGTGGAAGAAACCTGAAAATATTGAAAATTGGGTAAAATATTTAGACTAGATGATATTTTGATATGTGTAATAAAAGATGGCCATATATTTTTAGATTGTTGTGTCCCTGCTGAATGACCGGCCTAGTGCAGAAGATTTTATCCATTCATCAGTACTTCAGGAATGGACAAAGGCTACTAATGTGAGGTTAAGGTTTATTCGTACAAAGACGTTATTGGGCCATTTGATGTCTGTTGTCAGACAAGATCCCACTGTCACGAGAAGAGTAAGTACCTATGAAAGTTTTCTGTCCTTTTCCTATATACTTTGTACTTTTAACAGTCTCTCCTTCTTGTTCTCAGTGTCTTTATTATTCATCCTAGTCTTGTTGAGCATATTTGAAATATTTCTCTTCACTCATATCTGAAGCTTTCTAACTTATCTGTCTGTCAGAATTGTTACGTACATCACATAGTCTACGTAATCTTTACTGTCATATTCGTCTCTTTTACATAGAAAATGTATTTGTTTTTTAGATCTGTCTATCTGGCATTCTTGTCCAGTTACTTAGCATTTTTTTATTAAATATTTTCTTTCCATCTTGTTTTATCTCATCATTTAACCAAATATAACACTTAATTTAGTTATCTGTCAGATTCCTCTCTATCTAATGCTTCTAACTTTATTACAAACCCTTTCTCGTTCTACTGTACCATATGTTTTATCATCATCAGCTAGTTATGTGTTGAGTTTGTCTCATCATTTAGCTTTTCTCTGAAATCCCTCACTTTATCCAGTTGTTTATAACAGCTTTCTGCATTTAGGTAATTCACCAATAAACGTTTTAAAGAAAGGTTTCATAAACTCTTTCATGTTATCGTACGATAAATCATTTTATCAATATTTAATTATTAAATGTTAAAGTCACATTATTATTTTGTTTTTTGGTGTGTCAACAATATATACATTTACATTATTTCAACAATAAATGTGTATTACTATTGTTACAACAGTACTTCACCTCTTCACACACAATAGCTTGAACCCTTGTGATCTGAGATTTGCATGCCACTAGCCTTGAACTAACTCCCACCTAAAAATCACGTGTTTGATATAAAGTGCACTTGTGCATGATGACATCATCAGTGTGATGATAATCCTTGTGCTCGAAATAACTTCATTCTTCTCCTCGGCATTGTCTAGAACAGAATTGATTTTAAACTCATTAATCAATTATGTGAGTTTTGCAATAGTTTATGGAACTTTGTTCAAGTTAACTAGTTTCTTTTATTACGAAAGAAAATTAAGGTAAGTTTTTACCTATTTGGAATTCTGAAGTGATGATAGCTTCCTCTTCATCCCGTAATAGTGACAATATTCCTAACAGGGGATCTGCATCTGTTGTGGTTTTTTGGGGGTTTGTTGCTTATGGTGTATGTGACAGCCATTGTTTAGTGTGTTATATGCACACTGGCATTCTCCTTCTGTCCATTTAGTTAACGTTTCTTATCTCCAATTTGTACATACTCAGGATGATGATGATTTTATTTAGCTATTTTCCCAGCATGGTTTGCTCTATTTACAGTTTTATCTGTGGAAGAAAATCCTCGCCATTTTAATCTCTTCCCTATCATGATTTTGCAGGTTTGTTCTTGTTTTTGTTACTACGTGAAACCCATAATCAAGTTTACTTTATCTTCCCTCCTTCATCTGATATTAGGATCCATGCAGACTCGTTTCTCGAACACCTTCACACCTGTTTTAACATGTATTGTCTTCCATTTCTACTTGACTCTTTTGTCCTGGCTTACAGCAATTCTTCTTTTCTGGTCCTCGATTCCCAGTCTTTGGAGAATCTCTCTTACCTGCTGTGTAGGTGGACCATTTATCTTTTATTTCCATTTCTAGTGCCCAATTTTCTCACCTTTTGTTACTGCCCTCCTGGGTTACCTCTTGTCACTTCACCTTATGTCTAAGGCACTTCATGATGCTCAGGAGGGATTTTCTGAAGAGGTTCATTTTCTTCTTTTCACCACATTGGCCAGTACTACTACTTCTGCTCTATTCTTCCTTACTTGGTTTTTCCACTATTGGGGCAAGATGCTCTCCTAGTTAATGTATGCCTCCCTTTTGCTTATTTCTGGGATCTCTTTCAGGCTCTTTTTCTTCTCACTGAGGTCTTTGGGGGTGTCCTTGATTCACTGGAGTCTCGGGCTGAGGCAGCCCAGCACCAGTCCTCATTGTTTACTATGGTTTCTTGTCTTTCTCAGCCTTGACATTCTGTTTCGAGGCGTGCTGAATCTACATTTCCCCTTCCCATTTTAGCTTCCTGGACTTCTTCTATTTTGTGATGTCAGGGTCATCTCTCGTCTCATCAGTTACTACCCTGTCATGTCTGGTCCTGTGAGAGCCTGTCTGTCTCTCTTTGCCAGTTTTGGTCTCCATTTTTATCTGACAGATGGGTTCTTCAGGTTTTTACTCACAGCTCATCTCTCCAATTCTCTTCACTTCCTCCCATTTTCCATTTATTGTCAGTGTACTGAGGATTTATTCTCAGATCTCTTGGCCAAGAATGCCATCAAGAGGGTATTTACTTCTACACTTGGGTATTACTCTTGTATTTTTGTGGTTCCCAAGGAAACTGTAGACTGGCATCTGGTAATTGACCAGTCGTATCTCCACCTGTTTCTTATCATCCTTCACTTCCATATGGAGGTTAACATATTCCTTACTTGAAAATGTATTTCCTATAGATACTCACCTCCCCATTTTTGTTACATTTTCTTCTTGCCTTATCTAAGAATGAAATTATTTTGAGCACAAGTGCTTAGGGGAAGTTACTATTGTGTCATCTTCCTCTTGGTGAAGGGCTGTTGTCACTTGATGATGCCATCGTGCACTAGCACAGTTCACATTAAACATAATTTTTAGGTGGGAGTTAGCTCAAAGCTAGTGGGATGCAAATCTTATAGGCAGATACACAATAAATGACAAAGGTTATTCTGTGTGTAGAGGTGAATATATATCAAAAATACATCTGATATTTCACCAGTAAATATTTATCAGCAGTGTTATGACAAGTGCCTGATATTTCACCAATAAATGTTTTTCTCATTATTTCAACAGTAAATATTTATTAGCAGTGTTATGACAAGTGTGTGATATTTCACCAATAAATGTTTTTCTCATTATTTCAACAGTAAATATTTATTAGCAGTGTTATGACAAGTGTGTGATATTTCACCAGTAAATGTTTTTCTCATTATTTAAACAGTAAATATTTATCAGCAGTGTTATGACAAGTGTCTGATATTTCACCAGTAAATGTTTTTCTCATTATTTCAACAGTAAATATTTATCAACAGTGTTATGACAAGTGTCTGATATTTCACCAGTAAATGTTTTTCTCATTATTTCAACAGTAAATATTTATCAGCAGTGTTATGACAAGTGTGTGATATTTCACCAATAAATGTTTTTCTCATTATTTCAACAGTAAATATTTATCAGCAGTGTTATGACAAGTGTCTGATATTTCACCAATAAATGTTTTTCTCATTATTTCAACAGTAAATATTTATCAGCAGTGTTATGACAAGTGTCAGATAAATCACCAATAAATGTTTTTCTCATTATTTCAACAGTAAATATTTATTAGCAGTGTTATGATAAGTGTGTGAATATTTCACCAATAAATGTTTTTCTCATTATTTCAACAGTAAATATTTATCAGCAGTGTTATGACAAGTGTCTGATAAATCACCAATAAATGTTTTTCTCATTATTTCAACAGTAAATATTTATTAGCAGTGTTATGACAAGTGTCTGATATTTCACCAATAAATGTTTTTTCAGTATTTTTATAGTATCAAAGACATCAACATTGGTGGTCGATGTGTGTGTAATGGCCATGCAGAAACCTGTGACTTGACTGACCCCAGTGACCCCTATAAACTTTTGTGTCGATGTCAACACAATACCTGTGGTCCTCAGTGTGAACAATGTTGTCCAGGTTTTGTACAAAAGAAATGGAGACGTGCTCTTGTGGACAACCCCAATGCTTGTGAACGTACGTTAAACTTTGTCTTATACTTCAAATTTAGTCAAAGCATCTAATATTTATTGCACAATACAAACCAGAAAATGGTTAGTGAACAGTTGAAACTAATGATCTTCTCGTATTCATTAGTAACCAGAAAATAATCATTGTTTGGTAGATAACAGAAAATGGTTAGTGTATAGTACAATTAAAATAGTAGTTGAAAAGGAGTTTATAAAAATGATACATAATTTTTTATCTTGACAGTGTAGAGATTAAGTATTATTATTTTTCAGCAAAAAAAAAAACAAAAACATCTGAGTGAATATTTTGCATACTTGGAAGCAACCTGGTGTTTTGAAAGGTATTGTTATATTACAGTTTAATTCAGTTAAGTTATGCTGTTTCTCTGATGATATGATTTAGATGTGACGAGTATTGTAGAAGTTTGTCCTTCTGATCGCAGGCTGCAACTGTTTTGGACATGCTAGAGGATGTGTATATGATGAAAATATTGACAAGTTAGGCCTCAGCCTTGACATTCATGGAAACTATCGAGGAGGTGGTGTCTGCCAGAACTGTGAACACAACACGGAGGGAATTAACTGTAACCGCTGCAAACCGGGGTTTTTCAGGCCTTACGACAAACCACTTAACGCGACAGATGTCTGCCAACGTGAGTAAACAGTATGAATCCTATAAACAGTGGAGTAGCTAGTTATGATAGTAAAACATATTTGTGATCACAAGTATCACAACTATAACAGTTTGCTTGAGGTAGCTAGCTAGCTTAGTGAAAATATGGTCGTACTATAGTTGTGTATTACAAAAAATAGGTGGAGGCCATTTTGGTTCAAAAGGTGTAGGAAGATGTTTCATACAGCAGTAATCAATATTAACTCAAGACTTAGAAATCATCATCTGATGCTAAAGAGTCCCTCTGTACTCAAAATAACAATAAACCCTGAAATGAACCATGTTATCAGTTTTTAACATATTTATTTCAAAAATATGCTAATGTGTAATACGAAAAGGGAAAAGGATGTAAGAAGGTAGTTCTAACTGATTAATAAAAAAAACAGGTTCATCTTATCTTGTTTTAAACATACACAAAGTGGCTGTTGTGTTAAATGTTGCATTTGCTTATGATTATAAAGATTACAACAACAGACAAAAAATGTAGTTTTTTAAATATTTTTTTGAATTTACAGCAAGCGATGGTAGATGCTATCTTTAGGTGATTTGGAGGGGGTGATTTTCCTAATAAAAAAACTGAAATGTTTAATGTTAGTATAGGACAGTTTTAGTAGTTTGAGTCCAATAAAGCCAGTGCTGAAATTGTAACTATTTAACAAGAGTAATATCATAAACCAAAGAAGTGTACACACTCTACTGGTGCTTTTATATGTATAAATACACAATGAGTTTAATTACTTTATTGTTCAGTCACTCATTATCAAAGCTGGGAATTAAAAATAACCTTTCAAAAAACGAGTGTTAAAAGCAAACTAAAAGGTTACTTCCAGAATAATAACTACAACTCTAGCTGTACAAACATTGCTCCAGTGTGGTTAGAGCACTGAATCAGAGGCTTCATGGTTTGTATCCTGTTACTATTGGGAAAGAAAACTTCACTCTTCTCTCTGAGGTGGGGGCATGCATTGTAAGAGTGGTGAAATTCAACTATTTGATAAGAGTAGTCCATAAGTTGTTGGTAGATGGTGTTGACTGGCTGTCTTTCCTCCAGTCTATCACTTCAAAATTAGGGGCAGCTAATATGGATAATCTTCAAGAAACTTAGTGGAGGCCTAATCAGTGAGTGAAGTCTCATTCTTGTAACATTTCTCCATGCATATATGATTTTAACACTTTGAACACTGTTCCCCTCAATTCAAGCACTGTGGAAGACACATCAAGAATCTATTATCTGAGTATCTTAGACTAGACAGATGCAGGTAGTTTTGTCTATAATCATTGTAATTAGTATTGTTTAGTTCTAAGAAAATTTGTAAAAATGATGGCAGTATTGATTATATGCCATAATGCCTATTCTTTAAAATGTTTTTTATGTGTGTTTGTTAATTCAGAAGTATCAGCACTGTTATTTTTTTTCACTTTTGTTGCTATTCCAATGTGTGTGGTTTCTTTTCATGTAGTGTGTCAATGTGATTTGACCTTTTCTACGGGAAACTGTGCTGATGGTAATGGTCAATGTGAATGTCGACCCGAGTTCCTTCCCCCTTACTGTGACCAGTGCAACATAGGCTATTATGGATATCCCCAGTGTCGACCCTGTGACTGTAATGTTAATGGAACGGAAGGGAATATTTGTGAAGTTGGAGGTGGCCAGTGTCCATGTAAGCCTAACTACACTGGCAAAAACTGTAACAAGTGTGCACAAGGATATTATGGCTTTCCAGATTGCTTACGTAAGTGTAAATATTTAACTGGACTTAAAACGTAATCCATAATTAGCTTCAGTAAAGGAGGTAGAATAGACAACAATTACCTGATGATGACCACACAAGTGGTCAAAATACTTTAATAAATTTATACAAAAAATAAACAATCCACTCAAAAGCAGTATCTCTGGATTTTTATTTAAAGTAGGTTGAAGGTGAAAAGAAATTAAAAACGAGCTTTAAGAAAAAAACAGGTTATATTCTTAAATAATAATAATAAAAAAATATAAGTAAATTGCAAAAACAAATTATCATATGTTGACTTTTGTGTTGGAAAATTCTCCAATTATTTAATAAAAATATTTTTTAAAAAGAGTAAAATGGTCCATAAATTGGTAGTTAACAATTATTTAATAAAAATATTTTTTAAAAAGAGTAAAATGGTCCGTAAATTGGTAGTTAACAACTTCAACCCAAACTTCATCTGTTTCCAT